TAAGAACTTGTGCTCACTAATGCTTTGCACATATTTTTTTTTAAATCTTTATTGCCACAATAGAAAGAGCAGGGTCAGGGAGGAGACAGTGGACCAGAGGCCAGCAAGGACGATCATGCAGGGTCTTCACAGGTGAGAAGAGAATATAACTGGCTGAGAAAAATATCTATAGCATAAAAGTGACTGTGCGATTAATTTCCACAGCTTTGTCACCACTACTATTCTTAATCCTATTATAAATTTTGCTTTGCACATTTATTATCTATATTATTGCAATAGATGGAAGAGCAACATGGAGAAACCAGGCAGGTATCAAGACAGGGACCTGACAGCAGCACCAATTATCAGCCCAAGGCTTCACAGGTAAGGAGAAATTATAACTGGCTAAGGAAATGTCTACAGAATAAGAGTGACTCTAAGATTAATTTTCACAGCTATTTCAGAGCTACTCTTATGAATACTCTAAAATGTTTTTTGTCTGTATTGCAATAGCAATACTACTGCATTATTTGTGTTTTTAAAGACAGCAGGTATTGGTCGTGCCATTTTTCTTTATCTTGATTAATTTTGCACATCTGTGCTGTCATATTTGATGATGTGTGCATGCAAAAAAATCAAAGCTACATTGCATCCCCCTTCTTAAAAATTAAAAATTCGACCACTGAGTATAGCATAGTATAATATAATACAGTATAATACAGTATAAGGATGGCTACCATGCCGTCAAAAAAACACACACAACGCAACAGGCAACTCTTCAAATATGCTATAGCGCATATCCGAAGACATATCGACATTGATATCAGCGGTGCATGAAAGAAAGCCCAACAACAGCAGGTAACTCTTCTCAGTATCTTAAGAAGTAAGTTACAAGCTAACTCACACGGTGCTCAAGCAAATACCAATGCAATGGAGGTCAGTTGTTGAAAACTAAAGATTTAAGTATTTGCTTAGTGTGCTTGAGCCCCAATGTGAGGTGCTGGGCCCACATTACACTGCACCACATTGCACATACTTTCCCATAGCTGAGGTGACGTTCCATGTCTCAATAACCAGTCTATTACGACAGAGATCAGTGCACCTACAGTAGATGAAGAAAGGAGGACACACAACTCCTATATTTTTAAAAAACACTATGGGTGCAAGTTGCAGAATGATTCCAAAAAAACTTGTGGGCAACAGCACTCACAAAAGACAAAAAAGTCAAAATGTATAATTTACTAGGGCAACACACGGTCGTCAAATGTTTGTTAGTTTGTTTGACTGTGTGTTGCCCTAGTAAATTATACATTTTGACTTTTTCACCTACAGTAGATTCCTGCCTTTACCTGCCGCCCGGCTGACACTGCTCCTGGGGTTGACTGGTAACAAAGCTGCCACCATATATGTCACCTGCCAGCAGATCAGCCAACAGGAAAATTCCACTGCAATAGCCATGTTTCAACCAGTAATGGGCAGTCATTGTGCGTATTTATAACACAATGTAGAATTCACATACTTTGATTTGGACCTGAATCGATCAACAACACAACTAAACAACAACATAAATTGGTTTTCAGTTAAAGAGAAGTGATTTGGGGGTTTAGTTTCTCTCTAACCTTTATCATGAAAATACTCACCAACATCAAGCTCAATGTGGAATATCTGACGTGGCTGAAGACGAGGAAAATCACAGGTGTAGATTCCACTGTCAGCCATCTTTGCATTTCTGATGGTGATGGAGGCGTCACCATGTTTCAGTTTATGTGGAAAATGAGAGACTCGACCTTGGAACTCCTCACTCTGACCTGGACGATTGCTGTTGTAATTGATGCCACCATAAAAGAACACCTCCTTCAGACCGTCTTTCTTCCATTCAAACATCTCTGACCCAATGTTCTTCTTTGTGCTGAGCAAACAGGGTAAAATGGCATTACTCCCTTCTTCCACTTTTGCGGGTGTTGGTCCTGGAAGATACAAACATGTATTAATTAGTATGTTTACACGCAGAGTAATTAAGACAGACATATGGAAGTTTGCTGTTGTAACAAAATATCAACTTTTGATATAACAGCAAACTCTACTTGTATTTTGGCCTTGTCTTACACAGTGTCCTCAGAAAATCCTTTGCTCTGCTCTCCAGAATGCATATTTGCACGTTTTTACTTTTTTGACATGTATTTATTATTTTTACATTCAGTTTTAACTCTGAGATTTCTTTTTCTAACTCTTATTACTCACACAATAGTCTTTAGAGATTCATATTTGAGAACAGGGCTGTGCGATAATGAAAAAACAAATATCACAATATTGTT